CTGAAATCAGATTCAAAATCAATATGGGATCCCTGAAAGTCATGCTCATAAGAAGAGCTTAAGGGTGGAACAGGCCTCCAAAGCAAACTGATTGTCTAAGAGTTCTCAGTCTGAACCATAAAGATCATAGAATTTAAGAACAAGTGGGGCTATAGCATCAGCAGGGGGAAGATTTGACACAGCTCTGAGAGCAGCCAGAGGCAGAGCTGGGACTTGTGGGTCCAGGGTCTGGGTCTCTTCAACCACCATTCTATCTATTCCCCCCCTCTCCCTTTTTCACCATACACTTCCAGATCATACAACATGTGCAGAAATTTCTTTAGCTCCCTTATTCTCCAGGCTGAATGGCTGAGATGTCAGAAACTGAAGACGCCAGACAGCTTGAGCTCCCAAATGCTCCAAGTTGTCAATATTGGGAGAACATCCTAGAATAAGGTACAGAGCCTAAACTGCTTCTCCTCCTGAGCAGGACAGGCTTTGCGACTTCCTCTTTGTAAAGCTCACCTCTGCATAACCAAACAGTGCTCATCAATTTCTTGAAAAGAAACATTTGTGGCTTCCGTTTCAATGGCACAAAAGTCATTCTTGAGTCAGAGAAAAGATTCAAGTTACCTGGAAATACTTGTTCCTCAGAAAATTTCCAATGTCAGAGACCCCAAATTCAAATGAATGAGGTACTGAGGGGCCTCTGAACTTTTACAGAAGTAAAATTCTTCTTCATTTTGACCCGAAGGATATATACTGTGAGTGGGGACTGTTCCCCTACTCAGCTTTCAGCGAAGACAGAGTAGGTGCTGTCTTTAATTCATTTAGTCACATAACTGACTCTCAACTTCATTTCTGCGTGAAGAAATCATGTCACATTAGATAGTCCCCAGGTAGTTTTCATTTAGCAGTGAATATGTGAACGCTTTTTCCTGCACTAAATTTATCTGCCAGTTTAGGTTTTCTTTGAAGAAAAGCTGACCTCAGCTCTGCTGTCTGGGTTAGTTCTGTCTTCAGGTGGTGGTAAGGGAATGGTTCTAAAACAAAGCTGGGACACTGCAGAAGCCAGGAGGGGAGAAATGACTCAAGTACCACCTCTTCCAGGCAGGAACCATGACTGCTTCTCACCTTGCAGGCATCACCAACTTTTTTTGATCAAAAGAAATAAAATCAGTTGTCTCTCTAAATTTTGCTAATTCATAGAGCATCTTCACTTATCAATGTGAGTACTGAAGTGAACAGCAAGAGAGTAGTTTAACTGAAAAGATTTGTGTAACCACATTCACAAGTAAACGGCACTCTTATCAGGCCCTGACACATGGCTTGCAGTGAATTGCACAATTTGAGACACCAATGGGACCCAGTGTGCTGCCCTGATAATATTTACAACACTGCTCATTCTTCCTGCAGGACTCAAGTTTCACCTGTCTAACCCACTGACAACAGGAAGAAGTCTGCTCCTGACATAACCCTTGCTAAATTTATATCCCATGTGGACTAGTGTGGAATTTCTGAATGTGCTTGTCAGGGGACTTGCCTAACGGCTCACTGTGTGGAACGGTGAGCTTCAGAAATGGGGCAGTGAGGCAGGCAGGGTCCCTTATTCATGAAATCAGAGTGGGAAATACAGTGAGACACTATTTGATTTGATGGTATTCTAGCTCATCCCAGTTGCTCTTTATATTAGCCATGTGCAGTAAAAACTAGGTTCAACCGGACACCTGGTGACAAGCCAGAGAACTGAAAATTAATCCCAGAACAACGGAGTCTCTGTGGTATTTGGGAAAACAAAAGGTGTGTCTTTCTGAGCCTCTGTTTTTCATCATTTTACGAACTGTGGCTACTGCCTATGTATAAAATAGCTGTACACACATGAAACTTCTTTTTACATGCCATGGTCAGAGTGAGTCACTTAGAGTGATTCGGTCTCAACTAAAGCCTAGGGAACCACAGGAGCAGGGGCATGCAAGGCAGCCTCCTTCTCCTGGAGACACAGCCTGAAAACACAGCCGCCTCCGGCGACTGAGAAGCGACAGCACAAGAGGGCTACCCTGCAGGGACGCGGCATCCAGCTGGGAAGAGGACGCTGCTGCAACAGGGGAATGTTCAGGATGTGCTCCGTGAAGCGCCTGCCCATGCAGGGCGTTCTGGGCCTGGGGACGAGGTCCCTGCACCGGGCTGAGAGCACAGCCGCTCAGCACGTCCTGGCTCCTCCCCCGGCTCCTCGACTCCGCCCGGCCCTGCTGCGGCTCCCCCACCCGTCAGATGGGACAGCAGCGCCCACCCTGAAGCGCTGCTTTGAGAATTCAACTGAGATGACGCAGGGAGCCATTGCAGAGGTCCGGTACCTAAAAAGTGAACAGAAAAGAACCTGCTGGTGACTGCCAGTTACTGCTGACTTCTCTTTTTGGTTCTCTTCTACTACTTTACCAATGAAAATATACCGAAATTAATTATGTGAGAGATCAGGATACACAAAATGGTGGTGCCCTGGAGGGAGTCAGGGTACTGGAAAATGTGCTGGATTGAGAGTGTTCTTAAGGGTCCTATCTTAACTCCCTTGTTTTTACAGATGAAGAAGCCGAGGCCCGGAATGGCCACCTTCACCGCAAGACCAGGCAAAGGCAAAGACAAAAGCCTGCCTCTCTCACAGTTATGGTTGCGGGTGATGCACTGGTGTAAACTGAGCCATAAACAAAAGCCTGCCTGTCTCACAATTGTGGTAGGGTGAGCGGCACTGATGCAAACTGAACCAGTGAGGAAAGGAGGCGGGGGTCTACAGTGGATGAGGAGAATCAAAGCAACTTCCAAGGGTTCCAGTTTGGGAACCTGGAAGAGTGAAGACCAGAACGGAGGGGTCATGAGGGAAGTTGCTTGATGCGAAGAAGGATGCGAGTTTCGTTTTGAATGTTGTCAGTTTTGAGGCACATCCCAGTGGGTTCCACCTACGGGCAATCTCAGATCCAGACCGAGACAGGCAGGAATAAAGATGCAGGAGAGGATGGCTTGGAATTAAAAGATGAAGCTGTGCTCAACAAACTTTTCAAAGTTCAAAGAATAGATCACAGTGGAAAAACACCAAGAGATCAAGATTGAGCTGAGAGGGCCAGCTGAAATTAAGGAGGAGGGAAGGAAATTATATTGAAGCAGAGGAAGATTTGGGTAGAGGATTCAGTGGCTTGGTTTCCAGGTGGGCATAACCATCAAGTCTGAAATTCAGAGGAAGGTCAGGGAAGATAAAGTTGCAAAAAGAAACCAACCATTCTTTGGCTTCAACCAGGAGAAAGTCAGCTGGGATTTTAAAAAGTGGTTTCTGAGATGGGAAAATGAAACTGCCTGAATTTCTTATTTAACAAATGAGTCTAGGAAATAAAGTAAGATGGTATTTGATGATCACTGAGAGAGATGGCAGAGCAAAGTAATGGCTTATTCAAGAAAAAGAGTTCTATGAATATTTGAAAGCAGAAGGGGAAAGATGAAGGAGGAGAGATTAAAGCTTTTGGGAGACAGAGGATCAACACCAAGTAAGAGTTCTCAGGAGGCAAAAAAAAAAAAAAAAAGTGCAAGAGATCAAGGCAACAATGGAATCACGAGCATTAAATTCTCAAGACATCTCTCCATCCTGACACCTTGAAAGATTTGAGTTTTATGTATTTTGGGGTTTTTCCCAAGTCTTAAGATATTTACAAGGACTTGAAAATTGCACTTACATTTACTCCTCATTTTATTAAAGCAACTGTTAATGCCAAACTGAGGATTAGGACCTCCTGCTGAGGTGTGTCTGTCTCACCCCTGTTTTCAGAGCTGCTGTCACTTAATCACCTGTGTCTTTATTTACTGAGAGAGTTCTTCCCTCAACCACAGGAAGTCTCAAATGGGTTCTTTTAACCCTGTCTCCCGGCAAGGTGTATAGAGTCCAATGCACAATAGGAGCTCAATAAATATTGACTAGATGGGTGAATAAAGGAATAAACAAACCCAGAAAGGACAGTATATTCAAGAGATAACTCAATATTTTCATCTTCTCTAAAAATGAATCAGGAAGTTTAGTAAGCAGATTATTCCTTAAACACCATTTGGTTTTTCTTGAACGCATTTCCAGTACCTTAAATGGGAAAACACACACACACACACCCACACACACCCCCACACACACCCACCCCAAAGCTATCATTAAAGCCCATCCCCCCTGAATGTAGATTAGAAGGAAATTTAACTTCAATCGGATGGCATTTACACTTTCTATACTGAATCAGGGCAGGTAGCATCTACGTCTCTATCTACGAAATGGACATGATTCCAAGACCTGCTTTGAGGACAATTAAGATTGTAAATTGTAAGACTATAAATGCTGGGAAAGATTGAGGACTAGAGGGTGGCAGAGGATAAGATGTTTAGATAACACCACCAACTCACCAGACATGAATATGAGCAAACTCTGGGAGATAGTGGAGGTCAGGGAAGCCTGGTGCGCTGCGGTCCATGGGATCACAGACAGTTGGACACGACTTGGCAACTAAACAAGAAGACTGTCGAAGTTTCGACAGAGTTTGATACCTTTGTTGTTACTACAAGTATTATTCCACACTGTACTTCCTCTAAAAGTCCAACTTTGTAAGATATTTTGATTGCAATGCAATTAGGTTACTGATTAGGCTTACATTTTTATAGCTTTTTCATCTAAAATCCCTACTACTCACCCAAAGCTTTAAACGCCAAGATCCAGGTGGAATATTATCTAGAATATATCCCATAAATACCTGTTCAGTGATTAAATAATGTTTTAAGATTAAAAATGGTCTCACTGCCATTGTTTCATTTCACTCTCATATCAGCTCTGTGAGATGGATGTCACCCTGCACCCCATTTTACAGATAAGAAATCTAAGACTCGGGAAAGTTAAGCATCACTCAGCACCTGCAACTCAGACCCAGGCCTCCTGATGCCCTACTGTAGTCATTTCTTTTACCTACTGCTATTTATAGTTGTGATTTTTCTTTCTTTTTTTTCATTAGGGAAGGATGATCAGAAGCCTTGGAGAGAGTGGTTCCTTATTGCAGTTATGATGACCATCTGCTTCATCTTGTTAATTTTTTCACTCATTTGCAGAATGTAGGTATTCTTTTTACTTTGGGTGCTTTCACTGGGATCTGAATATTGAATTGCATTCTTGCCAGGTATCCACTGGATGGAGGGCTCTTGTTAACAGGTGTAACCTACAGTATTTTTGTGTCTTCCTGGACAGCCTTTCCAAGATGAGTGTGGACTAAGTAAAAAACTGGGAAACAGTAGGTGATTTATGGAAACTGGACAGAGCTCAATATAGCCTCAGTCACTGGATGTCCCCTTCTTGAATTTGCCAACAGTCTGTTAATTTCCGAGAAAGTTTTACATCTGTGTTCTTTTGCTTCCTTGACTGTCTTCCACTCAGTCCTTGGTTGCTTCTGTTGAGCCCAGAGGTCATGTCTGTTACATCTCAGGGACTGGAAGGCAGCCCACTGGATGCTGAAATCACCACAGTGCCTCCTGTGTTATGATCCCCAATTATGAGGTATCAACTCCTGGCCTGGCCCTCTGTTATCTGGCCCCAGAGCAGCTGATCGTTCCCACATTCTACAGTATCTTACAGATTTGGCAACCAATCCTAGAGCCTGCCAAAGCCCCCGTAGGAACTTCTCAACCCTTCTGGCATCTAGGAAGGTCAAGCGCCACTTAGGAGGCTGCAGAACATGTTCTATCTTAGCTTTTTCATAGTTTAGAAAATGACTTTTAGGGGACTTCCCTGGAGGTCCAGTGGTTAAGACTTTGCCTTCCAGTGCAGGGGGTGTGGGTCTGATTCCTGATGAGTGAGCTAAGATCCCACATGCCTCATAGTCAGAAAACTAAAACATTTTTGTTTAAAAAAAAAAAAAAAGCAATATTGTAACAAGTTAAAGACTTAAAAAAATGGTCCACATCAAAAACAAAAACCCTTAAAAAAGAAAATGCCTTATCTTAAACAGCTTCACTATTTTAAATGTTATATAAGATGGCATCTATACCGGGGGGTGGTGGTGGTGGCAGTTCAGAAAAGAGGAAAAAAAGCAGACCGAGAACCAACACACAGGAGGAGGGCACATCAGCGTCACAGGTGACCTGGAACCCCACACACTCGACGTCTGTCACTGTCAGAGTCAGGTCTGATGACACACACCGACATGAAGCAGCTGCCATTTTGTCTGTCTTGGATCAGAAGTCACAGCAAAGCCTTGCAGTACCCCTAGATCTTCAACTATTATTACAAAGTAGGTACTTGGAAGTCTCTGTCAATGAAGATTTTGAATTTACAAGTTGGCAGGTTTGGGGATTAACCAGGTCAATGTTTAGAGTAGCTACTAAAGCACAAGAAAGGCTGTGTTTGCTCATCTATCTCCCTCCTTTACTGTTTTCAGATGCCACTTATGGACCAAGTTGTTTCCACCTGTTCCAGTGCCAAAAAGTAATACTAACGATTTCTTAGTAACCATCAACAATGAGGTAATACTGAAGGTTCTCTAATGTCACATCCGCCCAGGGACCACCGGGTCCTGTCACTGGGTCACTCGTTTTCCATGTTACAAGAAAAGGCTCTTACCCAGGAGGCCGGATGTCTTCATGCTGCTTTAGTCACTCAGCTCTTCAGCTGCTTTAATACAAGTTCATCACAGTCTCTGAATATTGCAAAGGCCCTATTCAATTATGAGGGTCCTCACCAGTCAGAAAACCTGAATTTTTATTTTCTATCAGCCATCTTTTAACTGGCCTTGGGCAATTCCTTCAACCCCAGGAGATGTGACTTCCTCTTCTGTACAGTAACAGGCATAGATGCGTCCAATGACCTGTTTAACTCTGACGTTTTAAGAATTCATGTTTCTGCCCCTGATTACCCTAAGTTTTTCAGAGGAATTTTTCCTAGTTTCTAAATACAAAGAACCATAGAGCAGGCCAATGATTTCCCCAAATATATTTTTGTAGGTGTCATTATGCACTCAGAGCACTTAGGTGTAATCACTCACTCACTTATCAACATGCGTTCAGTTGTTGTAGCATTAAGTGGGAGAAGTAATCCTTTCTCTAGTGAATTGACTTGGTCTCTTTGCTGAAAATAAGCTGTCCATGTGTATGTCTATTTCTTGATGACTGTCTATCTGTATGCTTATACAATACTGTCCTGAAACTGAAGCTTTATTGTAAACCTGAAGACCAGGTAGTTTAAAACTTCCAAACATGACTGTTACAAGTTGTTTTGGTTATTCCAAGTCCTTTTTATTTTCATATGACATGGCAGCACACTCCAATATTCTTGCCTGGAGAATTCAATGGATAAAGGAGCCTGGCAGGTTACAGTGCATGGGGTCACACAGAGTTGGACATGAATGAAGTGACTTAGCACAAACTTCAGAGACAGTTTATCAATTTCAATAAAAAATGCTGCTGGGATCCTGATCAGGTGATTTTGGAGAGAAGGAACATCTTACCAGTAATGAGTCTTTCATTCTGTAAATGCAAACATCTCACCTTATCTATTCAGATTTTCTTTAACTTCTGTCACCAAGGTCTTGTGCTGTTCAGTTGCTTGACAAATCTGTCCTTAAACAGAATGGATATTTACATTGGGGCCAGGGGATTCTCTATAAAGAGCCAGATAGTATACGTTTAAGGGCCAAATGTTTATCATGCAGTCATCATACTGTGAAAGCAACCATAGACAATATACAAACAGCTCTGGACAATACAACTTTATTTACAAAAGCAGGCAGTGAGTCAGACTCAGTCCATGGGTTGCAGACTGCAGACCCTCATCAAGGAGTTTTCTTAACAAATTTAGTTTTCTCTTTGATAAAGTGACTCATGGTTGGATAAGTCAACTGGTGACTAGCTGTAGGGGAAGATGAGTCGATCAGACACTCACCAAAATGGATCACTGCAGGAGGCAGTGACCTTTACAGTTAGCAGTTTGGGTGTCTGCGGTGACTGAGCCAATGACAGTTACTGACCCAGCGAAGTGGAGGATCAAGGCTGGCCCAAGACCCACACCTGTGCTCAGTCCCACCCCTGTGGTCTCATTAACCAGGGGACCCTCTGGCTTGCTCTTCGTAACCCACAGCTTTTCTGGAAGGCGAGTGTGGCCCCCNCCCCCGGCCCCGGGAAAGTTGTTTTGCTTCATGTGAATCCGTGCTGTGGATCCCTTCTCACTCTGGCGCAGTCATGCCTGGAAAGCACCTGTGGTTTAAGCAGCAGACTCAAGTTGCTTGTTTGTCCTGGGCTCTTAATGGCACATATTAATGCTGGTATTTCATTTCCCTTCAGGACCCCCAAAATTTCCTTGCATATTCTGAGGTTGGTAAAAGAAACAGGCATAGCAGTTTATTGTGTATGTTTTAAGTTTGTTGTTAATTAAAATCAAGTCATGTATGCAAAAAGAACAACTCCAGGTAGACAGGTTGGTTTCAGAATAAGCAAAGGATTCATGTCAGAGCCCATCACTGCCAGGCTGCTCCTCTGGACAATACACTCTCCTCTCACATTTGGGGTGGTGGTGGTGGAGTGAGAGAGTGTGTGTGTGTACGCATGTGTCACTAAGTCGTATCCGACTCTTTGTGACCCCATGGATTGCAGCCCACCGGGCTCCTCTGTCCATTTTCCAGGCAAGAATACTGGAGTGGGTGGCCATTCCCTCCTCCACACTGCAGTGGGTCAGGTGAAAAACAGATCTGTGAGTCGGGGTGGGGGAAGAGGATGGGGCAGGGCTGAGGCATTGGGGGGAGGAGCAGGGAGAAGTGGGAAAATGAAGTGTCACCTTCTGCTGCCAGTTCTACCGCCAACACCCTCCACCTCGGGGAGCAAGTGACTCAGTACAGAGCTGCCCACCGCTGGGCCCCAGGCAGCGGCGTCCCGGCCTCTGTCCAATCACAGCCTCTGTCCAAAGCATAGCCTGTCCAATCCACTTTGGGGACCTCTGCTACAATGACAATGGGGGGGGGGGCCCTTTAGAGTTATTGACAAACCACCAGGAAGCCTTCCACTGATGGAAAAGGAAACCCTCTGCTTTTCATCACTGCTGGCTCCTCTGAACTTGATGCTGGTACCCAGAGTCCTGGGATTCAGAGGGTGGCTTATCATCCTAGAGAGGCCATTACATACACTTTTGCTTGTCCAGGCCTGAGTCAGAAATTATTTTTTTTACACTCAAGAGACTCAGGGAAGGAGAGGGAGGGAGAAAGGAGGGGGATGAGCTGGCTGAACAATAAAAAAGGCTCACTTAAAAAGAAAAAAAAAAACCTTATTCTAAGCTTTCCATTTGTTAAAGACTGGTTTCCAGCCATTCTTTGTTTCTACACTGGAAACTGGGAGAGTTCCTCCCAAGATTAAGTAGATAACAAACCACTCAAAGTACATAAGGCAGAGAGCGTGGCTGCTTGGTTCATCACTGCATATTCAATGCATTACATGGTGTCCAGTGAAACATCATGCTAAGTCACTTCAGTTGTGTTCAACTCTTTGTGACCCTATGGATCATAGCCCAGCAGGCTCCTTTGCCAGTGCAGAGTCCATATTAAAAACATGCTCAAAGACTTCTCCATTGTTGCTGGGACTTGTAGGTTGGTACAGACACTGTCAAAAGAAGTACAGAGGTTCCTTAGACTAAACATAGAATTACCACATGATCTAGCAATCTCACTTCTGGGCATATATCCAGACAAAACTCTTAATCCAAAATGATGCATGCACCCCTATGTTCATAGCAGCATGATTTACAATAGCCAAGACATGGAAGCAACCTAAATGCCCATCGACAGATAAATGGATAAAGAAGATGTGGTACATATATACAATGGAATACTATCCAGCCATAAAAAAAATGAAATAATGCCATTTGCAGCAACATGGATGCAACCAGAGATTAATACACTAAGTGAAATAAGAAACAGAGAAATCTCATATGATATTACTTACACATGGAATCTAGAATATGGCACATATAAACCTATCTACAAGACAGAAACAGTCTCATATACATAGAGAAAAGACTTTAGGGAGAGGGAGGAGATGAGGGAGATGGATGGGCTGGGAGACTGGTGTTGGTAGATACAGTTACATTTAGAATGGATAAACAAGACCCTAACATATGGCACAAGGAACTATATTCAATATCCTGTGATAAGCATAATGGAAAACAATATAAAAACAACATATGTATTTGTATAACTGAGTCACTTTGCTGTGAAGCAGAAATTACCGCTACATTGTAAATCAAATATACTTCAGTTAAAAATATGAATGAAAAAAATACACTGGATGAGTAAAGGAGGCGGAGGAATACGATCTCTTATAGGAGGTTTATTTTTGGTCATGAATTTTATAATTAATATTAGCATTATTTATAATAGCCAAAATAGGACACAATACCCCAATTTAGGGGAAGACTATAGTAAACTGTGAATAGTGTACGATGAAGCTATGCAAAATGATACAGCCAAAAAACATACAATCATGCTTCAGCATATGCAGGGGGAATGGTTCCAGGGGATTCTGTGGGTACCAACATCCGCAGGTACCAGAGTCACTCATATAAAAGAGTGAAACCCATGAATACAAAGGGCCGGCTGTACGTAATTTAAAATATGATATGATGTTGCACAAAAAGCAATCAACTTATAAAGCTCTTCATGTAACTGTAAAGATAACTCAACAGCTAGAGAAAAGGGCTGAAGAGACAGTGGACTGTGCTTGGGAGGTAAGTTTATGGGTGTTTTTTGGTCTTCTTCCTACTTGATTTTCCGTATTTTCTTCAGTGAACATTTACTATTTTTTTATGAGCAAAATGAAGCCAACTGTAAAGAAATTCAAAGAATGGAAAAGTACTCTAGAAAACATCTAAAGAAGGATGCTTTGTTTTGCAGAAAACTGGTTCCAGTGAAACAGAAATTGAAGTCATAAGTTATGTGGAGCAGGCTGGATTTGAGACCCTGGAAGACTCCGTGTTTTGACTGTCCCTGGAACATTCTCAAAATCGGCTCATGCTCATGAGCCTCAGTGATGACAATGGGAAAGGCTGTTTCCTAGCTAAGAGCAGTTTGGACTTCATAGGACACTCAATTTAGCTGTAAGATGATGCAACCAGACAAATCCCTGACAAGTGTGGATGCCTCCTCACAATCTCCTAACACACACCGTACCAGGTGACTGATTCGTCCATCCTGCCGAGTCTGATCTCTGCATGGACAGCACCTCCTCACCCTTCAGTCGCCTGATCTGCATTACTCACCGCACACGTTTTTGTGTGAGAGAGACCGTTATTAAAGCTAACGTCAGTTGTGTTTACTCTGGCAGTCAGCCACCAATAGTAACAACCAACTAAAATATCAGGAAGAAAGCATTTTGTACCATTCTGGAATGAAGAGTGAACTTGCATTCAAGACTGTCTTTCCTACAGCAAGTGGGAGCCATGGTGCTTTTATTCTGAGTTCAGGAATACTTTTTTCAAGTAATGTGTGGGTGTGGGGATATGGGTGTGGGTGTGTGTGGTAGAGGGGGACAGAGAGGGGAGAGAGGAAGGAGGGAAAGAGGTACAATCAAGTTAGTATCACTGCAGACAAACTAATTTCAAACCATAAGGAGCTAACGAGTCAATCTATACCCAATGAAGGGACAGGATTTTGTTTGAAGACTATATTCTCGAAGGCAGCCTTGATGTTTCAGGAATACACTGAGAAAGGCACTGGGTGGAATTGTGTTGGAAGAGGATCACTCTATTAAGAATGACTTTTCTGAAGAAATGTCTGTTCACAAAGACTTCAGAGCAACTTTCTGGGCATCTGGTCAGGAAGGGCTGGATCAACTCCAGCGTCAGAGCTTTGGGATGGGTCCTACACAGTGCTCACCAAACATCCCAATCTAGACAGGAATCCCGCCTCTGACACCCTCATGTGCTGCTGGTGGCTTAGTCACTCGGTTGTGTCGGACTCCTTGGGACCCCCGGACTGTAGCCCGCCAGGCTCCTCTGTCCACGGGACTTCCCAGCACGAATCCTGGAGTGGGCTGCCAGGGCTCTGCCCAGGTCTCCTGCTCTGCAGGCGGATTCTTTACCGCGGAGACACCAGGGACGCTTGACATCTTCCTGTATTGTCTGCAACTAGATCCTGGGCCAAGGAGGGGCAGGAGGGGCAGCGGGAAATTGAAGGGACCCAAATAGTGCTGACTGTACAGGGCCCTGGAGCAGGACGCTGAGGACTGGGAAAGGTCACAGGGCTCAGAACGGCCTCTGCCAGGGCCCACTCTTTACATGCTTGTCATACTCGATTTAGTCAGTCAGGTTGATCCAAGAATGGGGAAGGTTGACTACCAAATCCTTCCAGGGGCTGTTTTCCTGATAAACATCCACTGCATCTAGCAGGAAACTGGGTCCAGGACAACAGGCATAGGGATCTGGCAGCTGAAAGTTACTGCCTACTTCCAAGTATTAGGGAACAAATGTGCCCCACTCCCCATTCATATGTTAAAACTCTACACCCTACTTCGAAGGCATTTGGAGGTGGGGCTTTGGGGGAAGATGAGGCAGAAAGCTCAGGAATGGGATTAGTGCTCTACAAGGGGACTCCAAAGAATTTCTCCCCCATGTGATGACATGAGAAGTTGGCATTCTGCACCAGGAAGAAGACTCTCACCAGAATCCCAGCACGTTGACACAATGATCTGGGACTTCCAGTCTCCAAAGCTGTGATAAATAAACTTCTGTTGTTTATAAGCCCTCTAGACTGTGTGCTTTGTTAAGGGAGCCAGGTGTCAGGAGCTGCACCAGACGCTATGCACACATCTCTCTAACCCTGAGAAGTCCACATGGTCAGTATTATTGCTTCCATTTTACAGATGCAATCACTGAGGTTCAGAGAGCACGATAGGAAATGGCAGATCTGATAGACAGAGTGCCTGAAGAACTACGGACAGAGGTCCGTGACAATGTACAGGAGGCAGTGATCAAGATCACCTCCAAGAAAAAGAAATGTAAAAAAGCAAAATGATTGTCTGAGGAGGCCTTCAAATAGTTGGGAAAGGAAGAGAAACTAAAAGGCAAAGGAGAAAAGGAAAGATACACCCATTTGAATGCAGAGTTCCAAAGAACAGCAAGGGAAGATAAGAAAGCCTTCCTCAGCGATCAATGCAAAGAAATAGAGGAAAACAACAGAACGGGAAAGACTAGAGATCTCTTCAAGAAAATCAGAGATACCAGGGGAACATTTCATGCAAAGATGGGCACAATAAAGGACAGAAATGGTATGGCCCTAACAGAAGCAGAAGATATTAAGAAGAGGTGGCAAGAATACACAGAAGAACTGTACAAAAAAGATCTTCA